CAGTAGGATTGCTTGAGCCCAGGAGTTTGAGGTTGCTGTGAGCTAGGCTGACGCCACGGCACTCGCCCCAGGCAAGAGAGTGAGACGCTGTCTCAAAAAAAAAAAAATAGATTTGTATTTCTTTCTTTTTTTCTATAGGAGACATGGTCTCAAAGTACCGAGAACCTTTGATCCACACCTTCCTGAGAGGAGTGAGAGATCCCGAGAGCACTCACAGGGCCAGCAGCTTGGCCAACCTGGGAGAACTGTGCCAGAGGCTGGACTTCCTGCTGGGCTCCGTGGTTCATGAGGTACCGTGTGTTGATTCCTTTCTCTAAAGCTTGTTTCACTTAGACCTATGACGCAGCTTGGGCCTGGGAGTCGGGAGACCTGTGTTCCTTTTCCAGATCTGCTACTGCCTCCCTGCGAGACAGGACAAGGGAGTCATTTGACTTCCCTGGGCTTCATTGGTCTCATATGTGTTTTGAAAGTTATATTAGTAAGAATTTCATAGCTGCAAATGACAGGATGTCATTTCAACCTACCTTAAGCAATAGAAGATGATTTATTATAAAGATGCCAATGTAATTAACAGAATTGGAGAATCCTTGAGGAAGGGTGAACAGAACTTTACCCTGGGTCTCTGGGCCATATGTGAGTCTTATCTCTGTATTCACAGAAAACTCTCAGGCAGAGACTCTAATTGGCCCTCTTTGGTCACTGGCACCCTGTGTTCAGGGGGCGGTGCTGTTTACCAGAAAAGATTTTGGTCGCCACTCTAGACCCAGTATCTGGTATATAGTAGGTACTCCGTAAATGACAGTCGGAAGGATGCGTGGACAGCCAAAGTGACAGCCATACAAGATGTTGGGCTGGAAGCTCCTCCTGGCTTCAGAGTTTATGATTTAATGAAATGTGCATCTTGCCGCTGTCCTCTCTGAGTATCTTTCTCTAGCCTCTTAAAATTTACCTTTGCCTTGTAGCCTTGTATTTATTTCACCATCAATATATCAGTATATATCTTTTTTTTTTTTTTTAAGAGATAGGATCTCACTCTGTCACCCAGACTGGAGTGGAGTGACCTAATCACAGCTCACTGTAACCTTGCAGTGACCCTCCTGCCTCAGGCTCCCAAGTAGCTGAGACTACAGGTGGGCACCACCACATCAGCTAACTTTTAAATTTTTTATAGAGATGGAGTCTTGCTATGTTGCCCAGGCTGGTCTCAAACTCCTGGCCTCAAGCCTCCCAAAGTGCGGGGATTATAGGCATGAACAACCAGAGGGCCTCAGTATAACTTCTCTGGGCCATATACTCAAATGGTTCCCACATTTTTTTTTCTGTATTTTCTTGGTCTCTTCACATGTCTTAAACCAAACCGAACCATAAACCATGAGCTAAAACAAACTGCTGGACTGTGATCCGAACCGAACCCAAGTATGATTATTTTTGTTAACAGCTTTACTGAGATATAATTCACGTAATCCAACACATATAATAATACAATTATTATAGCTCACACCTATAATCCCACTTAAGGGATACAACTCAATGGTTATTAGTATGTTCAGAATTATGCCAGCATCACAAAAACATTTCTTAAACATAGCATACATAAAAACATAAAACATAACATAACAAACATAAAATGTTTCTTAAACATTCTTGAACTGCAGAAAAATTTCCCCCGGATCTCAAAGTGGATCAGCTCAGACTGATGGGACCCATACGTTTTCTAAAACTAATGAACCTGAACAGAACCTAAATATCATGATCTCTGAACCCAAATGCTGAGACTATATTTCTTTTTAAATCCTTAGACTCTTCCTTTTCTCTCTCTTAAGGAAACTATAGTACGATGGCAGCGTCTGATTTACTATCCAAAGTATTAGAGAAATTTTTTGGTTTGGTTGATTGAGAAGATTGAGCTAAAACAATTTCGTAGCATTTAAGAAGCGTCATTTTTCTGGCACCTGCAATATGTCAGGCCCTTTGTTAGGGGCTGGGAATATAAAACTGTATCAGATACCACCTTGCCTTCTGGGCATGGGTAATCTGGTGGAAGAAACGGAAATCAACAATTACAATTACAGTCCATTGGGATAGGTGCTAGGGGAGCATATTTGGGTGTTGACAAAGATGTCCTGGAGGAAGAGACCCTTGGAACTGAATCTGGAGAACAAGTAGACATTAGGTAGGCCGAGAAGGCAGAGGGGAGCATTGCAGCAGAGGGAGCAGCTTGTGCAAAGGCTATGGGACAGCCCAGTGTGTTTGAGGAACTACAGGAAGATCCCAACGGCTGGAGTGAAGGGTGGGGTGGGCATTAGCTGGTGGCAGGAGCTGAGGCAAGAGAGGCGGGCAATGGCCACGTTATGAAGGGCCTTGTTACTTTATGACTTCACAGCAAGCGTCAAGCATTGCTTATTTAGCCTTTGGGAATGAAGTGCAAATAGGGAGGAGGCTGTTTGCCGCCCATGGGTGCCAACAGAAAGAGAAGCACCGTCTGTGACCCTGGGACCTCCTTTATGTTTCAGCCTTAAAATCGAGGCAAGGAGCTGCTGCTATGGGGGACCCGCCTGGTGAACCTGTTGTCCAGTGACCCGGCCCCACTTCTAGAGACCTGGACTGTGTCAGCAGCATCAATCCCAACAGTGTTCATGGTCATTAATAAATTGTGGGCC